CCTGCCCATGCGGTTTCTGTTGATGGTTGTTGAGCACGGGACCGCATCCAGGTGGTGAGAGCTGTTGGGCAGGGTTGGCACCCACTGGTTGTTCCTCTTTGCCTTCTGTTCTCTGAAGAAGGAGACAGTGTGTTAGACTGCAGACCCTCAGCACCACTGCTGTTACTTAAGGAAAAGTTTAATTTTAAACTCCTGCTACTTTGTTCTGGACCCCTCAACAATACTGTTCCACACTGGCCTCTGGGAAGCCCAGTCTCCAGCTCAACATAAATCCAGGTGGACTTACAAATACTAGGTTCATATTTGGATTTTCTATCTATATAAGGACTACTGAGAAACGTGAGCTTTCCAGAAGGCAATACGTGCAGAGAGTGTGTTCTGCAAAACATCTGTTACAGATGGAATGCCGTAATTGAAAAAAGAGCTGTATCATCAAACACTTAGGTTTTTCTTCCTCTCGTATGTGGGCAGTAACCCAATCCTTATGGTCTGGAGATCTTCATTTGTCCAACACTGCAAACAATGGTTAGCACAGACTGACAAGAACCCCCCTGCTTGATGGCCTGTGTTTGTGCAATTTCTGGTGCTTGGTGCCCCAGCTACATCTTCCAAGCAGCTCCGTTCCAATCCCGGCCCTCCCCAGGTTACCTGAGGTAGGTAGGAGGTTCTGTGCTGATGGACACCGCCTTATACTTCTCATCGTTTCCATCCAGGATCTCTTCCACTTCAGAGGCCTTCAGCAGCGTCACACTGGTGGCTAATGTCGTGTAGCCATGATCTGGTACCAGGAAAGATGGCAATTAACATGGAAAAGTACTAGATAGCAATACAGCATTAACAGGCTGCTCTCCCTGATGCTACAGGAGGGACTAAAATAGGTTACCAAGAGGTACAAGTCTGTGCCCCAAAAGCCTTTTGGGCTTCATTCATCTTCTCACAGAATGACTCTGGTCATTTCTGTTGTGAAATTTACTTAAGGTCAAAAGGAATGCTACAAAAACAAAATTTCAAAAAAAATAGTCCTCAAATCCTCATAATCATTAGATCAATTTTAAATCTAATGTGCTTTTACTTAAGCAAAGGAGGAGAAAAACAATTCTTTCCTACCCTGAGTTACCCTCGGCAATCACATGGTTCAGCTCTGCACCCCTACATCTGCCAAAATGATGTGAAATCTCTTCCACAGCCTTCTGGGAGGAAAAGCCCAGAAAGCAATAAATCCTCCCTGGGCTTAAAGGTTGGAAACAGAAAGGCAACATTCACTAGAAAAGCTGATAAGAGCTGGGAAAGGGGGAGAAACCTTCAGGACAGGTCTCACTGAATTACAGAGACCATCTGCATTTGAGAATCCCACTAAGGTTGTGAGACAGAAGAGTCTGGCACGTGATCCGGGTGCACAACCAGGGCGACCACAGGGAGAGATCAGAGGAAGAGGATGAGACATTAATATATATTGTCATAGCACCCAAGGTCACAGTTGGAGATCCTTCCTCTAGCACAGCTAAGAATAACACGCAGATAAGACTTACATCTTCTGGGACTGTGAGACCGCTGATTTTCTGGTGGAAAAAAAAGAAAAGAAAGCAACAGGTCAGCAGGGTACTTGGAGGAAGGAGACTTAAGTCCAGAACGAACCCTTTATTTTTGTTGTGCTTTAGTCTAAAGAGTGTACAACAAATCACATTGCTAAGAAATTTAACTGCTTGTTATTAGTCTCCCACCAAAAACAATCCCAAGGCAGCTAAAGTCTCACTGGGGCAGTCACATCAGTAGCAACACACGGCAACAAACTCTGGGAGGCACAAACAGTCCTTGCAAGAAGCAAAGTTAAACAAAGACACCCATTTTCAATGGGGCATCTGTGCAACACTCCTGCCTGTTTGACAAGAGACAAAAATGCGCCTCTTTGTCTATAAAACTCAGCTGGAACATGGCACTGGTTTAGAGATCTGGCTTTTGCAGCCAACCCCAGGAAAGCCATGACGGATGCTTCAGTTTTACAACAGTTTTGGTCAGCTGCTGTTTGGTGCTGGGCTGAAGCAGGAGGTGCCAGTGCCACTGCCACAGAGTGCCCCGTCACTGGGGCAGTCGCAAGTGGTTTGCACAGCCCTAAAGGCACACAAGCTCCTGAATCGCCAAGGACAGGTTTTTAAGGCAAAAATTTCAGATAAACATTACTGGGAATGTTTGCTTCTCACCGTGTGAAGAGGCCACTATCTTCTTCCTTTCTTCCACCGTGGCGAGTCGCCTCCAGAGCGAGGGGTATCTCTTGTACAGGGAACCCCGAAACATGCGCAAGTAGTTCCCCACCTGCAAGAAGGAAAGCAGAGAGGTGGCCTGGAGCTCCAGTAGGGCCTGGTATCCTGCCTCAGAAATTTTTAGCAGGAGCTGAAACAAATTCAGTTCTTTGTAGTGATAACAGGAACCTCTTAAGTGCTTTTTTTTGTTTGTTTTCCATGACTGGGTTTGGCATCGTAACAGCACCACAACTTTTGTGGCAATACAGAAACCCAAATTCTTATCAGCACTTATTTCACTAGCCTGATAGGAAAACACTCACATCCACTGACAATAATCCACGTAGTAGGAAAAAAGCCCATTCATTTTCATGTATTTTTGAACAACCAAACCTTTCTTTACTTCAATTTCTGTCGCCGTGCACAATGCTCAGCAGGAATTCAATCAGAGCAGACACCCAGCTCTCCAGCAGAGATTATCATGTTTCCTTTGAACCTTGGTGCCATCTAGACATCACCAGAACACAGCAAATGCCCAGGGACTTGTATTTCGTTTTAAATCCTTTGAACACATAGAAGGTGATGGCTGCCAATAATCCCCTTTCAGATTGACTTACCATCAGTAAAGCAGTTCTGTTCCTCCTGGCACGAGACCCTCACCTGTGCTGAAGGCTACAGCAGGACTTGCTGCACAACAGAACTACTGCTGGGCTCCCAAATCAAACGTTCTGACCGGTTGTACGCCGGCAGACCGCCACGCAATAAGGGGTTCATTCCTTGTTTGACTGACAAGGCTCATTTTGATCTTAACGTCTGTTTTCAAGCAACTTTTAATTCTATCTGTTGCTCTATGGTGCTCATCAGCAGACAGAAATTAATGGTGGACGAAAGAGACAGCCTTTACCCCCCTCCCTACAGCACGGTGACCTCACAGGTTACTGACTGCACTTATAGCTCTTCTGTCAAACTTTACACTTCACACCAGAGCGTGAGGGGCCTCGTGCTCAACCTACACAGCTGGACGAAAGAGACAGCCTTTACCCCCCTCCCTACAGCACGGTGACCTCACAGGTTACTGACTGCACTTATAGCTCTTCTGTCAAACTTTACACTTCACACCAGAGCGTGAGGGGCCTCGTGCTCAACCTACACAGCTGGCCATTCAATTTTCCCAATATTCCCTTTTTTTTTTTTTTTTTGCACCGAAGCAGGGGAGGGAGGAGCTGAACCATTACTTTTTTTTTTTCTTTTTTTCAACCGCGATCATTTCCCCGGTGCCGAAGCCCCCGTGTTTCTTGTTTCAATGAGGCTCCCTCACCGGGAGCGCCGGTCCCAGCGCGGCTGAGGCGCCGGGGCAGACCCCCCGTCCGGCCCCCGCCTGCGGGGGGGGCAGAGTAGGCCGCAGGGGCCCGGGAGACCGCCGCTCCCCGCACCGGGGCTCCCCCGGTCCCCCCAACGCCTCCCCCGGCCCATCCCGGCGCCCGCGGCCCCCCGCAGCCTCCCCCGGGCCCCGCCCGGGGGGGGCCCGCACCTCGGAGCCGATCATGTAGAACTCGCCGTCCTCCTCCAGCTGGAACTTGACGGGCTTCTGCCCGAAGGTCTTGCTCAGCGCCATCATCATCATGGTGGCGGCGGGAGCGCCCGGCGTCCTGCGACGGGGCCCGGGCGGCCGGCGGCGGTAACGAGGGGGCCGGGGCGCGGGCGGGCGGTGGCGGTGCGGCCTAGTCCTGCCGCCCCTCCGCGCATGCGCCGGGCGCGCCCCGCCCAACCCCGGCCCCGCCGGAGGGGACGCCTCCGAGGGGGCGGGCGGTACCGGGAAGGAGGCGGTTGATTGGTGTATAATGGCTATAAATTAATCCCGCGGGGCGGATATACGTACCGACAGCACGGGGGGACGGGGGGTGTATGGATGCCACCAGCATCCTGGCCTGTGTCAGGAACAGCGTGGGGAGTAGGGCCCGAGAGGTGATTGTCCCCCTGTACTGGGCACTGATGAGGCCCCACCTCGAGTGCTGTGTCTAGTTTTGGGCCCCCTACCATAAAAAAGACATCGAGGTGCTGGAGTGGGTCCAGAGAAGGGCGACAAAGATGGTGAAGGGTCTGGAGAATAAGTCTTATGAGGAGAGGCTGAGGGAGCTGGGGGTGTTCAGCCTGGAGAAGAGGAGGCTGAGGGGAGACCTTATTGCTCTCTACAACTCCCTGAAAGGAGGGTGTAGAGAGATGGGGGTCGGTCTCTTCTCCCAAGTCACAGGCGACAGGACAAGAGGAAATGGCCTCAAGTTGCGCCAGGGGAGGTTCAGGCTGGATATTAGGAAAAAGTTTTTCACTGAAAGGGTTATCAGGCATTGGAATGGGCTGCCCAGGGAGGTGGTTGAGGCACCATCCCTGGAGGTGTTCAAAAGACGGGTTGATGTAGTGCTGGGAGGTCTGGTTTAGGGATGATGCTCCTTGTTTGTTGTGTGGGGGTCTATTTTTGTCAGTTAGGTTGACGGTTGGACAAGATGATCTTTAAGGTCCCTTCCAACCTAGAAGATTCTGTGATTCTGTTTATGGTGCGCTCACGAAGGGGGGCCGGCACCGAGACCCCTGGGGTCAGGGCACTGGCCACCCCCGGGGGTCCCCGGCCGGGGCACGGGTGGGTTGGCAGACGGGAAGGGAAGAAACCAGCCGCACTCCCTTTGTTTGGTTCTTTTCTCTTTTTTTTTTTCCATTTTGGCATAAGGTTATGTAGCAACGAGGGGTGTGCAAAGAGCTGGAGGGGGAGGAGGGGGCTGTGGGGGGGGTCAGCCCCCAGCCCGGTGTGCGGGCGGACCGGGCAGGCTGGTGCGGGACCCGTCAGTGCAGTGGAGAGCCGCAGGGGGCGGCGGGGCAGCGTCCAGCACTGGCACCCACCGCCGGGGGGAGAGAGGGATGGAGGGAGGGGGTCCCTTGTCTGTACACAAATCAGTACAAAATCCTACCGCGCGCTGGGGATACACGTAAAACCGGGAGCGGGGCAGCGGTGGGGCCCTGGCCCTCACCCCGGGGCCCTGGCGGGGTGGCCCCGGCAGCAGCCGCACGTCTGTGTCCCTCCCCAGGCAGTCAGTGTCCGCCAAGGCCCAGGGGGTGACTCCGTGGAAGCCTTCCTCCTTCTCCTCCTCCTCCCAGGCCCACATCTGGAGTGGCAAAGGGCTGCTGTGAGCGATGTAAACATAGGAAATACCATCAGGTCACTTCTAGGTGATGGGGTCCGGGTTAATTAGGAGAGCGTGATCCCACTCCAGGCTGGCCTGATGGCTTCGGGGATGGTATTGCTGGAAGAGTGTGGCCACATTAAGGGTTCAGTGGCCGCTCTTGCCCATAAAGAACGTGGCAAATGTTTTTATATCGATAGCAACTGAGACTGGGGCTGCTGGAACTCAAGAGGAGCAAACTTTGGTCACTTGTGGCAGACCCATGGCGTGCCAGGTGCTGAGCCTAGGAGGAAGCCAGGAATGGCAGAGGGAACCCTCTGTGTGGCTGCTGGAGGTCAGGGTGACGAAAGGGGAGCACGGAGGAGGCAGGTGCCCCCCTCATCTGAAGGAGTTGGAGGAGGGCGTGCAGCTGAAGAAGTCCTGGCTGACCTGGCGTGGGTAGCCCTCCAGCACCTTCACCTGCACTGGATCGAACTTCCAGTAATCACGGCCCCTCAGGAAATAGGCAAAACCTGTGGGTGAGAGAGGAGGGGTCAGGAGAGACAGGCTGGGCTCAGCTCAGAGCTCTGCCCTGGCGTTTTGTCTCCTTGATGCCCTGCAGCATGTGCAGGACCAAAAGAGAGCCTGGAAGAGGCAGGAGATGCTGCTGGATTCATTTCAGCTGAACTCAGCTCTGCAACTTGATGCTGCTTTAGTTTTGATGGGAGAGTACACAGGATTTTGTTTTACATTCCCTGTGCTTTTAAATACGCTGTACCCAGGTGGTGGCCCGGCCCTGAGGGGGCAGAGGACAGCTGGAGGGGGCTGGTGACAGGCAGCTTGTGACGTCCCACTGCAGAGCATCTGTCACTTGCTCTGGGATCCAGGCTCTGGAAGTGGTGGGGAGCCCTTCCCACCACATCCTCTGGGAGGAAGGAGGTTGTCACCGCTCTTGTCACCCCAGGCACCCTCCCTGGCTGTCCTCAGCGTTGCAGTGGCACCACCACGCTGCCTTCAGCACATCTGGGCACATCTGGGAGGACGAGGCAATGCCAAAAGCAGCCTCTTCATTCAGGTCAGCCACTGAGGCCAAAGTGTGGGCAGCCTTTCTGCTGTTTTCTCACCACTTTGTTGTGAGCAGGAACAGCTGGATGGGACTCTGTGACCAGTTCTTGGTCAGCAGTTTGAATTTTCTCTATCAAACACCAAACTGCCGATTGTTGCAATTAATGACGACAAAACTTCTCACTTTTACGGGAGAAGCCTCAGTTCCCTCCCCACCGCAGGGAGCTGCCCCTCTCTCCCCACTATATGACCAGGGCTGGGAAGTGTCCATTACTACCAAATGTCTAATCCTGCCCAGTTCTCCCAGTCAGGCAGTGGTGTCACCCCGAGCACCTGCCCCAGAGCCGGCCGTGTCCCCGCTGCACTGACCAAACTCATCCTGAAAAGCCGCGTCGATCTCCTGGGGGACGCCGCGCCAGTCGGCCATGGTGCGGGGGTAGATGTTGTCCACCTGGCGGGTGTGCGGGTTGAAGCGCCAGTAGTTGCCCCCGCTGAAGATGTAGATCTTGTTCTTCTCAGCCCCCCACACCAGCGCGGCCTGCACGGGGGCCGCAGGCAGGCCCAGCTCCGCCATGGGGGTGGGACCAGATACCCGCCTCTCGCCGTCGTAAATCCAGTACTGAGAATCTGGCGAGGAGACAGGAAAGGGAGACGGGAGTTCGGGAGCTCTTTGGGGTGTGATAATTGGGCAGTCAACTGTGCAACTGGAGCCGGCGCCTTGGCAGGGCTCCCGGGGGAGGCTGCGTGTGAGCACAAGGCAAAAACCCCACCGGTGGCACGGCCACCGTCACCGACACATGCCCAAAGTGCGAGGAGTTGACTTCCACCTCAGTCCAACCTGGAGGGTGTCACTGGTGGGACGAGGAGGAGGGTTTTAGCGGCTGTTTTTTCCTCTATTTGTGCAAGCTAGAATAAAAGACTTGGCTGGAGGGACCAGCCCCCAGCCTGCAAACTCGGCGCTTCGAGGAGAACATCCGTGGGCATGCACAGGCGTAGAGGGGGCACGTGGCTGGAAAGGAGCAAGCTACAGAAACCAGGAAGAACTTGCCAAGCTGAAATAGAGACTGGTAGCACATTCCCAGATTAGATTAAAACGGGAATCTCTGTAATTAGCCCAGGGCTCATAATACTTTCCCCTTATCTCGTTCTAACTCATGGCAGGAGCCTGCCAGCTTCAGCAGTGTAATTCCTTGTGTGCAGGTCAGGTGGTGAGTGATGTGTTTGTGCAGGAACGCTGCCTGCCCGGCCACGCGGTCTGATTTGGGTACTGGGTTTCACAGGGCACGCACGCCCGGGGCAGCCGGGTACCTGCCTCAGTCTGCGTCCCTGCTATCAAATTTACGCTTGGAAAGAGCATTAAAAGAAAATAGTGAAGCTGAAACAGGGGTTGCTGCTGGTCTGGAAGAGCAGAGGTGGCCAGGAGCAGGTCTGGCCCCCCGCGGGCGATGGGTTTTTAGTCCCTGTGGTGGCAGAAGGCTGTCTGGCTCTGGACATGGGCTCCCTGAAGGCTCATTCAGTCCGGGGGTATGACAGAAGCTCTGCCTCCAGGTCTCTGAGGAGCAGAGAAGATGCTGTCCGCCCCTGAGCAGGGCCTTGGGGGCACAGGTGCAGGAGTTCCACAACCTGTGAAAGCCTCTGGGGCTCTCTTCTGGCACAGCACTTCCAGGGACAGCTGGGGAGATGGAGCAAGGGTTTCCTTCCTCCTCCTCTGCCAGCAGCACTGCCAGGGCACAGGCTCAAAGCAAATGTTTGTCTTCCTGAGAAGGAAAATGGGATATCACAGCTGTATCTAAAATAAAAGTGACCCCTCCTTCTCTCTTCCCCGCCTCAATATCTGCTGAAAAATTTAAACTAGAGAAGGAAACAAGCAGCAGGGATTGCTGCATTGCTGAGGATGCCCGGAAGGTTTTTTCTCCCAGGAACTTGTTGGGTCCTGAATGCCCCTCAGTAAAGACGACGCATCTCCGAGCCCTCTGATCCCGGTCCAGCTCTTACCTTGGAAAAACCAGATATTGCCCAGCGGGTCCTCGAAGGTGGCATCGATGGAGCTGGGGATCCCCTGCCAGTGGCGGGAGGCCAGAGCCGGGTACCCGTCCTGCAGCTTTCCCGCTCGCAGCCGCCACACGTAGCGGGACTTGAAGAAGAAGAGCTCCCCTCGGATGGTGGCGGCGGCGTCGAAGGCTGTGTGGCAGGCCTCGGGCTGCAGGGGCTGCCAAAGGGGGGACGGTCAGGAGCTGGGGCCTGAGCGAGCCCCCCCGTGCCCAGGCTGGGTTTAATGGATGGGAAGTCCCTGTGTCCAGGCAGCTGTCCTGCTCTCCAGCAGTGTGGGGTGGGCACGGGCTGCCCGAGGACCCCCTCTCCCCGCACACCCCAGGCCTGGGCTCAGCAGCGGGTGGATGATGTGGACACCAAACCACGTGTGAGCCCGCTGCTGGCCTCACAGAATCATCTAGGCTGGAAGAGACCGTCGGGATCATCGAGTCCAGTCATCCACCCTACTCTAAGTACTCCCCTACACCATATCCCCCAACACCACATCTAAACAGTTCTTATCTAATTAGATATTAGAAAGAATTACTTTACTGAGAGAGTGGTCAGGCACTGGAACAGCCTGCCCAGGGAGGTGGTGGAGTCACCATCCCTGGAGGTATTTAAGAAACGTATAGACATGGCTCTTCAGGGCATGCTGTAGTGCCCAAGGTTATGGTTTATGGCGAGGTGTTGAGTGTGGGGTTTAGTTGGTGGGTGCGGTGTTTTTGGTGGGCGTTTGGTGTGGTGTGTTTTGTATTTGTTTGGGGTTTTTTTGGGGTTTTTTTTGGGTTTTTTTTTGGTGGTTGGACTCGATGATCTCAGAGGTCCCTTCCAACCACTAAGATTCTGTGATTAAACACAGCCAGGGATGGGGACTCAACCCCCTCCCTGGGCAGCCTGTTCCAATGCCCGACCACTCTCTCTGTGAAGAATTGTTTCCTAATGTCCTCGCCATGGGGACAGTCAGGAAGGACGGGGACAGGCTGTTGACTCACCTCCACGTTGGTGATCTCGTTAGTCTCCAGGTCCGGCTGGGGCAGCTCTGCTGGCTGGGTTGGGGTTGGGTCGGGACCCCGTTTGGGTTTCCCATAGAGGTACTGGATCCCTTGCTTGTCGTCCTCGCTCAGGCTGAGCGGGTAGCGGAAGATGTAGAAAGGAGACATCAGGGACTTGGAGACAGCCGTGTGCTGCAGGCCCAGCACGTGGCCAAACTCGTGAGCGGCCACTTGGAGGAGGTCGGTGCCTGCGAAGGGAAAAGATGGGAGATGCTCTCAGGTCCCATTCGGATCACGCCCACGGTGGAAGATACCTGCATCAGGCAGGATTAGAACTTGCTAATGGCCCTTGTCACACGGACAGCAGAGGGACCTCATTTATTGCTTGCGTGTGGACTGTAGCCAGAAAGCCACATTTAGAAATAAATCCATTTTAAAACACCCAGTGTCAAGGCCTGGGCCTTCTTCACCAGACTCCAGTAGATTTATGGGACATCACATTTTAGGAATACATGACCTCGGAGGGTCTAGAAAAGGAGGGGGAAAAGTGGATTTCAGTTTGCAAAAAACGTGTCGTTTGGCAGGTGGTGTTTAGATTCCAAGGGATGAAGCTGATGGATTTCAGGGGAAGCTGGAAAAGGCGTACGAGGCAGCGGGGCTCGTGAGCCGGGCTGTTTGTTGACAAGTCCCAGCGCATTCATTCACTCGCCTTCAGCCAGAAACGCTGCGATGAGACAGGCAGGGCCGGGAGCCAGCCGGGCCCGCCGTTCCAAGCAGGATTTCCCTGCTGGCTCCCGGGGAGCAGGTCACTTCTCGGGGACGGGAGAGGGGGGGACGCAGCTGGAGAAGGGCTGGGAAGGGTGGAGGGGAAGGTGAGCCAGCCCCTGTCTTCCTCTGCTGGTCAGCTTCATGTCGGAGTGATGGATTCGCATGGCGCTGACCCAACTACATCTCGGTCAGCTGAGAAAATGGGATTTCTGTGTCAGTGATTTATGACAAACTTTCAGACACTCGTGTTTGGTTTGGCAGGCTCCTCGCCCGATGCTTTCCAGTGTTGGCAGATGAGCCCTGCTGCTGTCAGGTTCTCCGGGGGAGGTGAGGAACAGCACGCCTGAGGGAGCTGTGCTGGGGGGGACACAGCTCTGTCCCTCGTAAAAGGTCCCCCCCCGAGGAGTCCTGCTTCCTGGGTGGCTCTGGGGTGACCCCGGGGCACACCTTAGGCCTCCTTAGACTTCTGCTTTCCCATCTGAAAAGCCAGGCTAAGAATCTCCCTCACTGAGTGCTGAGACAAGGATTTATCCATGTTTATATCGTAAAGCTCTTTTCAGCATATTAAATGGCAATTAGCTGCAAAGAGCTTTTACAACATTTATTTATGGAAGACGTAGGGGGAGAAAAAAGGCCATGGAACAGGGCTGGATTCTGATGGGAACTGGCATCCGTTTCCAGTTCCTGGTTTGCCTCCAACGCTGCCTTTGTGGGAGACCGTAGGAAATCCTTCAACAACACAGGCAGCCCCAACAGAGGGTGAAAAGTGGCAGAGGCCCCCCTTGCCCAGGGAGCAGAAACGCTGCTGCAGAAAGATCTGGTGCTCTGCGGTTCTTGTTTTGGGTCAGCAGGAGCAGGGTTGGAGACACAGCGGTCCTGTGCCCTGCACAGAGACTCAGGGTGGGACAGAACTGGCAATGGCGTGGAATTTGGGGGAGCCCACCTGAGCCCTGACATCGCCGTGGGCGTTGGGAAACCCCAGGGGCAGGGGTTTAACTTGGGCTGTGTGATTGTGTCTTTGTCCCTGTCGATAGATGGGGAAGGGGGAGGAGGGGCTGACCTGGGCTAATTTTGGTGGGTCTTGCAGAAACTGGTGCTTTGGGCACGGGTCCAGATGGTCCCAGGCGGTGCTGCAGTATCTCACGAGATACCGGGACACCAGACCCCCAGTGCCCCAGCAAAGAGCTGCCAGCTCGGATCTATTATTAGCCAAAAAAAAAAAAAAAAAAGAAAAGGAAAAAAAGAGTCTTGACTCGATGTGGTATTTTTTATGGTCAGAGCATTCCCAGACCACAGGGACAGAGCTGGAGCCTGGGTGGTTTCCCTTTATGGACTTGTTGAAAGAGAAGATGCTTTGCGGGCAGGCGGTGAGCAGTGCGTGCAGGGGCTGGGCTGAGCCCGTCCTTTGGAAGAACAACTGTGTCGGCCTCAGTCTTCCTCAGCCCTCGCCTGCTTTATTCCTAAGGGCTCCTACCAGCCCTGGGTGCAATTCCCAAGGGGCAGGGTGCGTGGCCAGGCAGAGGAACCATCCCTCAGATGTGTCCCTCTTGCTCTCCGGGCACAAGGGGAGCCCACCAGGAACCCAGGGTCCTGGCCACAGGCTTTGCTGTGGCTCAAGGGTGACAAGAAAAGACCTGAGAACTTCCAGTAGGGCTGTAAGAGGGAGGAGATGGCAATGCACACCACAAAAATGATGGCAGCCTCTCTGTTTTGCACGCTCCCTGGTCACACCATTCCAAGAATCATTTCCAAGTGCCCCGATAACCACCCTGGAGCCCCCCCAGCCTCCCCCGAGACAGTACCCTACCCAGGTTGTTCCCAATCGTCCAGGTCTCATCGTAGTCAAAGTGGACATCTCCCTCCCGGTGTGTCTTGGGGAAGAAGGCGTGTGCCAGGATCCCTCCGGGCCCGTCGAAAGGCAGGTTATCTCCATGCCAGTACCTGGAGGGGAGACACAGCTCACCTCAGACAACATCCGTGTACCTCCAGTGACCAGCATCGCGTGGCCATCACGGGGAGCACTCTGAGGGGACAGCAGCTCTCACTCCCATCCCGGGCTCATCCCCACCACTCCAGATGGACTTTTTCAAGCCCTTTGGATCACCACAAGCTTCCACAAACTCAGTTCTGCCTCAGGGCGCCGAGGAAGGGGAGCTCAGTCACACCAAGGATCTCGGTCACACCAAGCCCCGGGCAGTTGTTATGTTCTCCCAGGGAAGCCCGTGAGAGATGTGGCCACCTGAGAGAGCTGTGGGGCAAACACACAGCACGCCTATCGCATCCCCGCTTGGACGGCCGCCACTTTGCCTTTATGAGTTTTGTGCAAACACGCAGCAGAGGGAAGTCTTTGCCCCCGTGCATATTTTGCCAAAAGTCGATTTTAGGCCAGGAGCCAAGATTCATTTAAGCAAGGAACTATATTTGTCTTTGGGCAGACAGTTACGTCGTTCAGTCAAGGGACAGGATGGAGGACCTGAAGATGGAAAGTCAAAACAAACGCTTAGGAAAACAGCCTGTGGGCAGAGAAATGTAAATGTACTGGGAAAATTAATGAGCGATCAGTGAGGGTGCTGTGCACAGCCAGCGTGGAACAGCTGCACTTCCACCAACCAGCCCCCAACCGGCAAAGAAAATAAAAACAAAACCAGAAAAATCCAAGTGTCTGAAAGCAGAAACATGAGCCTGAAGTGCCTAAGTTGTGTGCTGGCAGCTCTGGGCTCTGGTTCGAGGCTTGGGGGGTGCTGGTCTCTCGGGGAGGAGGGTGCTGCTGCCCACCCTGCTCACCTTGTGAAGTCGATGACGATGTCGGCCCGGCCCTCCTGCACTTCGGTGAACGTCAGCGGGGTCACGTCACTCCAGACTTTCAAAGCCTCCTCGATGGTCCTTCTCACTTTAGCTTTCACAAGTTGCCAGGGGAACCTGATAATTCTGAAAGGCAACGGGCACTGGATGAGGAGAGCATCAGCCGCTGCCCCACGGACACTGCTGTCATGAGGACACTAGCTGTAGGGTCAACATCACTAGGGCTGCCACCCTTTCCCACCACCAGAACATCTCCAACCCATGGAAGCACTGATCCAGCACCCTCTTCCAAGGGGTGCAGCAGATAAATCCCATCAGTGTGGAAACCCTCTGGCTGGTGTGCCCAGAGGTGAGCTCTCTGGAGAGCTCTGCAGGTCTGTGTTTTTCCAGAGTGAAGTGATGGAGCATCTCCCGGGTCTGTCCCCCACGAGTCCGACCCCACAGAAGTGCCCGGGAGTGCTGTGATGTGATTTCTTCTCCTCAATCTCTGCATTTTTTGCCCCTGGGCTCGCTCAGAGAGGCTGCTGCCTCCTCTGCCCTCCTGTGACACGGGCAGACTGTGGGGTCTGCCACGGAGGGAGCTCACTTTCCCTTCCCTCAGCAGTGTTGCTGTGTGTTCCTCTCTGCTGTGTTTCTTCCTTTAACACCCTTGACCAGAAAAAAAAAAAATAAAGGAAGAAGCCTTTTTGTTATCTATAGCCTTCTAACGCTATGAGGAACTGTCTCCTGCACTTAATTAAACAAAAGGAGATTTACGTGCTGTCAAAGCCCATATGAGTGTGCTCACCTCTCCACTCACACCCCGGTGGGCGACTGGGGGGGCAGCACGACCCCCCCACAAGCCCGTCCAGCCGATCTCCAAGTGAGAACGTGTCGGGTGATTTGGGCAAAAACTCCCCACTCAAGTCATGTTTATGGGAACATCACTAGCAGCTGGATAAAAAAGTCTTTTTAAAATAAACGTCGAGGTGAGCCCCCAGCGGGGCGGCCGTGGGGAGCAGAGGGACAGCGGGAGAGGAGCGATGGTGGAGCACGTGTCTGGGATTTGATGTGGGGAAGGGAACATACGGGTGGTGGGTGTTGGTGTGGGGCTGACCGAGGGGTGACACAGTGGCTGTGGGGTGGGTGGGCAGTGTGTTTATGGGAGCTGGTGTGTGAGGGGAGGTGGAGGGGCTGGGGGTGGCCCTGTTGGTGGTTCAGCGCGTGGGTCCCCTGCCCCACTGGCTGTACCCGGTCTCAGGGCTCTTAGGGTCACGTCACAGCGTGTCGTGCTCCGGGGACCATCCCACGGAGAGGTTTGGGGAGGAAGAAGCAAACCAGCCTGACCCACTTTTGAGGCTTCTCTTACTTGTAGGTGAGATCAGTCTTGTCCCAGCGTCCACCGGAGAGGACAAACCTCTTCTGCCGGTTCCTCCCGTTCTGCCCGTCCGCAGAGGCCGGCAGGTCGGGCACGCCGCAGCGGGGGGGGTTCCAGCGCGCTGCCGCCTCGGCCCCCACCACGGGGAAACCCTTGGCAGCCACACCGGTCCCCACGGCGTTCACCAAGGACGACAGCCAAGGGCTCTGCTCCTTCCAGGTGTGATGCTTTCGAGACACGTCCTACAAGGGAAAAGCAAAGCCCTCACTTCTGTGCCCAGGAAGAGAGGTCCTGATGCGCAGGGGTGGAGGGCTGCCACAGCACCCCCACAGCGGTGAGTTCCACCTTTACCCAGGGCTGTACCCACGCTGCCGGGGCACAAACTGCTCCCCACAAACATCCTCCGTCCCCTGGGCTCTGCTGCCACCAGCCCGGGTCCCACCTGGGAGGCTCTGTGTCATGCCATGGCACCCCCCAAGCACTGGGCTATTTTTGGTCCACTTTTTTCCCTGGCAGCCAGCCGGCAGGAAATGCTTTCTCAAGCTGTGGATGAGAACCAGACCCTTCAAGAATGAACCAAATCGCTGGGGAGTGAATTCTGCCCCTTTGCCCCCCATCCTTTATTCCTTCCTGGCCCCGGGTAGGGGCCCAACACCGGAGCCCTGCCAGGTCAGAGGTACCTGTCTCTCCAAGAGGAGCTCTCTAGGAGCTGCCAGGGCTGGCAGTTCACCCCTGTGAAGGACAGCAGGCAGGAGGAGCTGATAAAGCTCATGAGGACCAGGACCTGGCCATGAGGACCACCAACTTGCTCCCAGCCCCAACAAAACCCTCTGCCAAGCTCATAATGGCAGCTGTGTCACCAAAGCCCAGCCTGGAGGAGCTTCAGCTCCTTGCTCCCCAGTGCCCCCACAGAGCCACCAGAGCCAGGTCCTGCTGCCCCAGGACACGGGGTGATGGATGTGCCTCGTTTTGCAGGACCAGGAGGTGCAGAACAGCCGCTCCAAGGCACGTGGGGAGAGTGAAGATGGACCCTGGGGAGAGCCCTTGCTGTCGGACTGGGAGCACTGGGAAACCCTTGGGAGTTGCCCAGGTAAGTGAGTGGGCTGAGGCCGATACCAGATGGGCTTATTCCTCTCTTACATTTTTCTCTTGGCTGCGCTAAGCACGTTGTCCCTGCTCTCCCAGGAAGGCTGGTGGTTTCCTTCCTGGCTGGGGACACTGACACGAGCTGAAGATCATGGCTCTCCTCTAAGCAGGAGCCGAGAGAGGAGGCACTTTTCCTTCTCACCCCCAGGGATGCCCTGTTCAGAGGCAGGTCTTCTCTCCTCTATGGTCAGCTGAAGGCCACTGGCATGAATCCCAGCTTCCAGCCGTCCAAACCCCACCTTGCCCTAGGGAGGACCCTCCCTGCTCCTGCCCTCCTGTCCTCTGCCCTGGGAGGGGACACAGCGAGGTCCTGCCAATGGCTCTGGGTGGAGGCAGGAGCTGCCCCCCGTCCTCGCTGTGCCCCAGCACAAACAGCCGGTCTGTCCCTGTCGTCACCGCACCGACATCAGCACCAGGGCAGGAAAGGGCTGGAAAATGCCACCGCAGGCACAGCCAGCGAGGGGAAATGTGACAGGCAGAAACCACTCGCCAAACAATGCTCAGGAGACGCCTCAGGCTGGAGATTTGGGTCTCCTTGGCTGGGCACACCTCGCTGCAGGCACTTCCCAAGGCTTAGATAACATCCTCTTGGTTAAGGTTGCATCCTTCCCACCCAGCGCCGAAGCCACCCTCTCCTGGGGAGAGCCAAAGGAGATTCAAACTGGAAGAGAGTCCATTTAGATGAGATCTCAGGGAGGATTTTTTCCCTCTGAGGGTGGTGAGAGCCTGGCCCGAGAAGCTGTGGCTGCCCCATCCCTGGAGGGGTTCAAGGCCAGGTTGGAGGGGGCTTGGAGCAACCTGGTCTGGTGGGAGGTGTCCCTGCCCAGGGCAGGGGTATCGGATGAGCTTTAAGGTCCCTTCCAACCCAACCCACTCTATGATTCTGTGATCCTGCTTTGTTCTCCCGAGCAGTGGGTCAATGCCCAGAGGTGTGAGCTCAGGGGTTTGCTGAGGGCTGTGCTGCTGCTGCAAACCTGCTGCTGGGAGCTGTCAAGGCATCCCCACTGCTCCCATCCCACCACCAGAGGAGAAGGATTACCAAAGACCAAAGGGAAGTCCCTGCAGCCCAGGGCAGGCATTGGGACCATCAGCCCTCAAGCGCTGCGATCCAGCAGCCGTCGCTCCTGGGTCTGCTGGGGTCAGACAAACACCCGCCAGAATTCCCAGGAAGCTTCCCAGCCATCCTGAGGAGCCAGGACCATCTCTGACCTCAGCATCTTGGGCAGCACTTGCCCTCCCAGGAGCAGCAGCAGCCGGAGCAGCACAGCTACAGCCAAATATCAGCAATTCTGTCCATAAAAACCCTCACGAGGGAGGCCAGTGCCTGGCACCGACAAACCCAGTGCTCTCCTCTGCCCGCATCCATCCTCTGCTGCCTGCCCTGAACTTAAACTTGTCTCCCCTGTCATGTACCTAATTACCCGGGCTCCTGCCTGCTCCTGCAGCACGGACATGAAAAGAGACCCCCCTCCCCGTCAGACAGGAGTGACTGGACAAGTTACAACGTGAATCCCATCAGTCTTGGATACTTCCCCTGTCACCGGGGGCTGTTTCCTCTTCTGCTAGGGGATAAGCTCATGGCTTTTCTCCCCGCCTCCCTGTCCCTTCTGCTGCTGCTTTTCCATTTCTCCCTCCTTTTGGTGAGGCCCTGGTGTTTGCTGCCTCTTTGGCTGGTGGCCCTGTCCTCCTCCCACCCATGACCCTGCGTCTCGGAGCGCTCCTGCCCTCGGTTCACCACCTGGGGAAGGAGAGCAGAGGTGCTTTCTCCTGCAGTTCTCATGTGAGACAGTTCTCTCACCCCGGTTCTACCCACCGTTGGGTGGCTGTGCCCCCCCAGGGGCTCTGCACCCCCTGAAGAGGCTGCAGCAATGTTCTTTCCTGAGATGGGCACTGCTATCCCCACGCAGAGAGTGATGGGGCAGCTCTCTGGCCAGCCCAGTGTGGATTTGCCGTGGTTAGATCTGGAAGTGCAGCTCCAGCTGATGGTCAGTGGTAAAACCAGAGCCAGCTCTGCTGTGGTCAGGCTGTGTCCCAGGAGCTGACTGGCCTCGGGAGGTGCTAATGCTGCAGGGGAAGTTTTAAGGCAGAAACAGATTATGTTTGTGGTCTGCTCAGACCCTGAGCTCCCCGTCTAGGTCAGTGGAAACACTGGAAACTGGTTGGAAACAAAGCTGAGGCAAAGCCACCGGGTTCATTGATCCTCCCCCCCCCCAGAACAAGGCAGAGCCTCCCAACCCCTCGAACTACGAATTCTGTGCTTAAAGAAAATACTTCTGCTACAGGACTGGCTCCTCCCCAGACAGGGCCAGGGGGACCGGGGGGTCTGAGGGCAAACACACACACTCTCTGCTCCCTTCCCATGCTCTGTGGCACCATCCAGCGCTGCCTCCTGGGGCCTGACGGTTTGTTTCCGGATTACTGGGTGGTAGTTGTTGTTGGCAACAAAAAAAGGAAAATGTTTATTTTTCCTAAGCAACGTGGAACATGAAACATGACGGACTGCAAATGTTTATGCCCACAGAGAGAGCGAGGAGACCCAGGCTCTGATGTAACAAGAGAAAGCAAACGAATAAACACTGCAGGACTGTTTTTATTATCAGACACTTTAATTACGTGACAGTTTGTGAGTCTGCTCCATCGACAGCACTGCGACCAAGCTGCTGGTGTCACCCAAGCAACAGTTTGCCAGAAACAGGAGTACTTGCAAAGCAAACAAGCCCCAGGATGCTGGGACAGCCAAAGGTTTCAAGAGCCCTTCATCTGATGACCGAGAAATCCCCTTGAAACCAAGAAACAGCTCGGGGATGCTGCAGGCTCTGGACAGAGGAGGAAGGGGGTTGAGCTGTTTTGTTCATCGTGCAATTGCATCCAAGTTAAGGTTAGCAATGAGTTACTGGTGCTGAGCCCAAGGACAACTGCCAGGACATCTCTGCTGGGCACGGCCACCTCAGTGCAGCCTCCTCAGAGCCACGGGGGGATGCTCTGCCCTCAGGGGGTGAATGCTGCTGAGATGTGCAAGCTGGGATCTCCAAACCCCTAAGACACCCCCTGTCCCCCTGCCCAACCTCCTGGAGACGTCTGGGAGGGTTTTCCTCCTCCACTAATTTTCACAGAGCTGCTTTTGTGAGATAGTGATGCCTCTCTCCTGCCCACATCCCACTAAGAGGAGGATATCTCCCTCCTGTCTCATCTTGTGGGTGTCATCGCCACCAGGATCTCAGTGAACCTCTAAACCCACATCTGTGGCCCCCAGTGAACCCCTGAAGTGCTCCACTTCTCGTTTTGCTGGACAGATGGGTGCAGACTCAGCAGTGCTTCCACCCATCACGGTACAGGCTGGGCTGACCCCCGTGTGAGAACATCCAGGACCCCCTCGTTTCCCTGTCTGCCTAATTGGGATGAGCAGGAAAGAGCCGACAGCACCTGTGGTGTGAAAAGTCCCTGCAGGACAATTTTTCCTCGGAAGATCCCTTTTTAAAGAAGACCTACACAGCACACCCTGCCTCTGCTGAGCCCCCCACGTGGGTGCCAGGGCAGGACACGCATGGGGGGAGCAAGTGAAGTGCGGCATGAGCTGGAGTGGGGGTTTCCCCCCCAAAAAAATGCTTCTCCCCTCCCTGTCTCTTCTCCCTCCCCGGTCCCCTCTGCAGCCACACACCCCGGTCTCACCACGCTGCGGGGTGTGCGTGTGTCGCCCGTGAAAGCCCAAACACAACAAACACGCCGGAGAATAACTGCTTCCATGTGCCTTCAGTCTCTCCCCGAGCAGAGGATAAACATGCCTAAAATTACCCCAAGGCTCCCTGCGGGATTCAAACAGCCAAACCAAACACTGCGCATCAAACCCTTCCTGCGGGACCTGCCTCAGCCCCCAGTGAGGCCGGCGGCCGCCCCGGCTCCCGGGCTGTGGGGACAGCAGCACCGCGCTCCAGGGGGAAAACCTGCCGGGTTTGGGGGATGGATCTGTGGGATACGGCTCCCGAGGGATTAAGGCTGGCAGCCGGGAGGGTGCCCACCACTTCTCCACCCCGAGAGAGCTTCCCAGCAAACGGAGCGACGCGGATTTCCCAGGGGAGCCGAAGCAATGCAGGAATTCAGCCTCTGCGTGTGCCCGGCCCCGAGCACTGCAGATCTTTTGTTCTCAAGTTTTACAGTGGACACCAGACACAGCCCGGACTCTGCTCTCAGTTTTCTCTTGCTTTCTTTAGGGGCTAATGCAAAAGCAAAGGAGATCGACAAGGTTTGCTGCAGAGAACACAGCTCCTTTCGCAACTTGCCCCACACAGCCTGGCTTTAAAATGAACCTAAAGCCCTTGATTCCACCCCAACCCCCAGTTACTGCTGTTGTGACTCGTTAGTGGAGCACAGAGGAGTCACGGTGCGGCACCCTGCGGTGCCTGGCACAGTCCTTGCCCACCCCAGCTACTGGCACCGCCGGAGGAAGTCACCATCATCCGTCTGGCAGGAGTGTGGATCTCCTTTCCCTGCTCAGCCCCTCGGATCCCTCCTCATCCATCACCCGACAGCACGAGATGCCCAGACAGAAGCCAGCTGCTGGTGGAGACGGGGAAACACCGCTTTGTGTGCAGGGACTGGGAGGCAGAGAAGCCAACGCGCGATGGCCGAGCCCTCCAGAGACAGGGGGTAGAGGAGGGCTGAGGGCAGAAACCCACACAGGGACCACTGCCAGCCCCCATCCCACACCAGTGTGTGTGCCCCAGCCAGGAGAGGGATGGAGAGCAACCCCTGTGATGCTGGCTGTACCCGAGAGGCAGCAGAATAACCTCCAGGAGCCTTGACACCAGATAAGGAACCCCAAAGGGCAGCTATTTGGGATGAGAGAACTGCTGTTTGAAAGGATGGGAAATCACCTGCCCGTTTCCAACCCCAAACCGGGTGCCGTCTCTGCAAAGACCGAGTGAAACAGACGGGTCTGAAGCCCCAGGCTCCACATGGCTGGTCCAACACACAAGCACAAGGTGTTCCTGAACAAAACATACCTGTGGGAGCATCACCTGGAGTTGCTCCAGCCAAGAGGAAAGTGTTAGCACTCGGGATGCAGAGCATTGACCTGGGGTGAGGAAGAAACTGTCTCTGGGCACAGAGTGCCAACGGGGGGGCATCCACCTCCTGGGGATGTGGATTAGATGGACGGGGAGCCTGAGCAGACCCGGACACCTGCACCAAACCTGGACACCTGCCCCAACGCTGTGCTCGTCCAGCACAGGTCCTCACTGGCAGCAAAACCAGGACCAGAGCCTGGGCAGGTCTCTCCAGGAGCAGCAGCTCCTCAGCTGGCCCAGGGCAGAGCGTGAGGCACCTCAACATCCCAGAGGGACCAGGGGTCTCCAGGTGTAGGCAGGTCCCTCCCAGCCCACTGCTGCTGCCAGCAGACGGGGGTGAGCCCTGCGCAGCGGGGTCAGAAGTGGGGTGCCACCCCCCGAGCCCTCACCCTCACCTCCCCCCGGGGCAGAGCGGGGCCAAAGCACAGTGACACTCTGTTTGGAGTCACACAAGCACTTCGGGGGCCAGGGCTGGTCCGTGCCAAATCCCAGCCCACAGCAGGTTTAGCAGCCAAGTCAGAGAGTGCTCAGATGACAGAGCTGATAATAAAACCATCGACAGAACCTGAACTAATCCCCTCGGGCTGCTACCGGGCATTTGCTCTGTCATTATTTTATGGCACAGCAGCGCAGCGCATGTGGCTAATAACCCAATTAAGGCACGCACACACTCCCAGCAGGCCCCCCCCCCCCCAAAAAAAAAAAAACCCTCGTCCCGGTGCTCCAAGCTCCATCCCAGGTGCCGGGACCTGGCAGGAATGTGCAGGAGGAAGGAGCCCTGGCTG